TAAAACATTAGAAAATTCTGCTGGATCCATAACAACTGATCCTCTACGATCACCTTCCTCTTTGCTAACACCGACCTCTGAAATCGACGGACCAGGATCAACATCACTAGATTCATCACCACCTCTACGTACATCAATCTCTGATAAACTCAGACGACCTCTGCGTTCACGAATCACTGAACCACTTTCCCCAAAACCTCCTAACAACAAATCTCTTCACCTCTCCGGTAAACCAACAGACTTAGTCCGTGTCAGAATCGAGAGTTTATTTTTTGAATCTCTGTTCTCTAGGCCAAAGCTTCTTGGCTCTTTTGCATCCATAATTTCTGCTGTGCAGGTAGAATGCCTAGAAGCAGAATTTTCAGAACAGGAGATTTGGGATGCTTTACGAGAGTGTGATGGAAACAAGGCTCTTGGACCAGATGGGTTCAGTTTGGCTTGCATTCAGAAGTGTTGGCAGGTAATGAAGGGAGAAATTTTACAATTCATATGAGTTTCATTCTAATGGGAAGTTGGTATTGGGTCTAAATAGCTCTTTTATCACCCTTATACCTAAGAGGGAGAACCCTTGTGAGTTAAGTGATTTTAGGCCAATAAGCTTAGTCAATTTAGTATATAAAATTCCAGCTAAAGTGTTGTCTAAAAGATTGAAGAGGGTCCTGCCAGCAATCATTAGTGAAGTTCAAACAGCTTTTTTGGGTGGAAGATGCATTCTCGATGGTGTTTTGATTGCAAATGAAGTGGTACATTGGTGGAAAGCTGAAAAAATTGAGAGGTATTATACTCAAGTTGGACTTTGAAAAGGCATACGATTCAGTTAATTGGGAGTTCCTTTTCTCTATGATGAAGAATTTTGGTTTTGGGGAATTATGGATGGGTTGGATTAAAACATGCCTATCATCAACCAGAGTATCTGTCCTGGTCAATGGTTCTCCAATAGCAGAATTCACTCCTCAGAGAGGGCTTAGGCAGGGAGATCCGTTATCTCCTCTTTTGTTCAACATTGTTGCTGAAGGTTTGAACCTATTGATTGAAAGAGCAAAGGAGATGGGGCTGGTTAAAGGAGCTTTTGTGGGGCCTAAAAGAAAGGGCAAGCTGATGAAGGAGGCTAAAGCAACAATTCAACTCGGGAAATCACTTGGTATTGATTTTGATGGGAAGGAGGATGATGTGGTAGAAAAGATAGTCCAGTTGGAAGACAGGGATTTGGTGAGGATCGCTGATGGAGCACGGGAAACTGATATCTGAATCACCAATTAAAGGAGTATAGGTGTTATGTTGATTCCTTCATGAAGATAATGTCATGGAATGTTCGTGGTCTTAGTAGACCAGACAAAAGGAGTAAAATTATGGGTGGGGATTTTAATAAAATTAGATTCCTCAGTGAAAGGAAGGGTTGCTCAAGTAGGGAGAGAGGTATGAATGATTTTAATGAGTTGGTAGATCAGTTGAGTCTAGTTGACTTGCCAATGAGGGGTAGAAGTTTTACGTGGTGTAATGCACAAGATGGGGGAGAGATGGAGCAGGATAGATAGATTCCTTCTCCAGAGGAGTTAGCTTGAGGAGTTTTCTTTCAAGCAATGGGAACTTCCTAGAACAATTTCTTATCATTGTCCAGTTCTAATAATGGAGGATGAGAGGAATTGGGGACCAAAACCTTTCAGATTTATCAATGCTTGGTTACTTCATCCTATTGTCAGAACAAGAAGTCAGTAGAATGAGAGAAATTAGAGGGCAGGTACGAAATCTGAGCAGGAGGAATGAGAGTTTATGGTATCAAAAATCTAGATTGGTATGGGCTAAGTGTGGGGATAAGAACACAAGGTTCTTTCACATGATAGCAAGTTCAAGGCAAAGGAGAAATCTCCTTAATTCAGTTGTAGAAGATGAGGCTAGGTTGGTGGAGCTAGCTAGAGTGAAACAATCAGGGATCATTACAAAAGAGAGAGGCCCCCATATACTAGCCCTTTTAATTTATTTCCTTTTTTAAATGAAGAAGTAAAAAAATGGGCAGAAAATAATATTTTGTTTGTAAGTCATAATTTTGTAAAATACAAACTGTGTCAAAATTGTTGTTTCTCTATTTACAGTGAAGACGACAACATTAGATTAGGAATACACATGAAGAATATACGCGATTTATATACTAACGAAAAACTCTCCTCCACCTCTGATTACAGGATCCTGAACAGCAATCCATCCGCCCAATATCTCTCCACCTCGAAGCACCTTCAAGAATAGGAAAACCGCCTAGGTCAGAAATCTCGGACGACACAACTACTTCTCCGACAGAATAAGTTTCAAGGACTATGATCAAGACGTCGTCTACAACGTCATAGACGACATCAAATACTCGACAGTCCCTACCGAATTAATGAAGAATTTAGTAGGCTGCCAGAGAGATTTCCATGTATTTGTTAAGTTCCAACCAGATCTCACTATTAGAGGAGGAATTCCTTGTATTTTATTAACAAATGGGGACAGTAGTTGGTTAGATGCAATGTCCCCATTAATGAGAGAATGGTTTGATGTTAATGTAACCACTGTCATGATTAATGAAAAATTTTATTAATTTTATTTATGAAACCGCTCAAAGTTTTATTTACTTACTACATTTCCCTTATCATCAACTATTACATCTTGAGTCACATCATTATTTTTTACACTGATGATTACATTTCGTAAAACATTAGAAAATTTTGCTGGATTCATAACAACTGATCTTCTACGATCAACTTCTTCTTTGCTAACACCAACCTTTGAAATCGACGGACCAAGATCAATATCACTAGTTCCATCACCACTTCTGCGTACATTAATCTCAGACAAACTCAGATGACCTTTGTGTTCATGAATAACTGAATCACTTTCCCCAAAACCTCCTAACAACAAATCTCTTCGCCTCTCCGGTAAACCAACAGACTTGGTCCGTGTCAGAATCGGAATGGCCTTCGTTGGAGGACAATGCCAGACATCAACATTGTCATTAGTGTATTTTTTAGATAACACAACAATAGAGGGGGCCCTCATTTGCGAATCTTCTGGCATGTCACTTGTAGAATACTTTAGATACCCCTTCATTTTACAATACGTAACCTCCCTTTTAATATTGGAATTTTCAAGTCGATAGTTCACCATCCATGGCACCTGTTTGTCGTTAATTGAACAATAACCATTCCCATAATAAACTAACTCGCATTGACAATCTACTGGGAAAATAAACCATGCCTGCAAACTGTCATTACCGTCTAACCTCCGATCATAAACATTTACTCTGACCAACCCACTAGCATTGGGTGCGCAAAGGGGGAATATCTTATCAATATTTTATCAACCTTAATACTTTTTTGTTTGTATCTTAACCTTAATTGAGAAAATAAATTAGGCAACGCAAGTTCAATACAACTGAAATCACTTGCCGATATTTCAATCCGAAGAGAAACAATCTTAAATAATAAGATTGTGTGTGATTCATCTGATGATTTTCTCATTTGACACGTCTCTAAGATAATATGTCAAATAAAATGTATTCCTGATAATAAAATTCGTTGTATCAATGTTAGGTTCATTATTGTGAATCTAATTATTCTTTTTCATTTTTATATAGTTAACATTTCTCCAAAAAAATGAAAAAAAATTAGATTTGTACTTAATTTGAAAATGTTATTCTTGTTAAAATAGATAATCAAGAATTTATCTTTATATTTCAATCAGTTCAAAACCCTAAAATTCTTGTTATCCAAAGCTAGCCACATAGTCAACGCAGATAGGAGCAATAACTATTAATGTCTCAAAAGGAAAATATTATTTAATGGGCCTGAGGCAAATTGGTGCCTTAATTTGATATTGTCAAGTTTGGCATGATTAAAAAAAGACAAAAAATTAAATAATCACTATCCTATTTAAATCACACCATCTTATTTAAATCACATTACCTCTCTAACACATCACTTCAAACTCAACCCAAACCCAATTCATATTTCATAAAAAGTTAAAAAATATACTTATTTAGTGTTTCCAAACTAAGACCCGATATTATTTGTTAACATTTTAGGAGATAATTTAACACTTGTCAAATGATAAATAACTTAAAGCAACGCTCCAGGACCACCAAACGACTCAAAGAGTCCATGACTCACTGTAGTCAACAGAACTTTCGTGGCAAGCAATGACAATGGAGATAGGCTAGGACCTGTTTGGATTAGATGAATTTCAAATGAAGGCATTTGAGAAAATTTTACAAAAGTAAAGAACAGTAGGCTGTTACAGTTAAATAGAGGAATAAAGGGAAACATAGAGTAGAGTGAGGAAAACCAAACAAGCAATAATATTTGTACAACTATAACCTTTAGTACATGGATTTGAAGAAATGACTACTTTCCCATTGTCATTTCAAATCCATCATGGTAAAACTCTCAAATTCAATATTACATTCTACATCTAAAATATCAAATCTAAATTTGAGTCATTTCAAATTCGTAAATCCAAATGATTATGCGGCTAAATTCAGGGACAGTGGAATTCGTATCTCTATATACTAGGGTTGGGATGAACACATGTATCTGTCCTACCGTGTAAGCTCTACAACAACAGGGTGTGCTTTACAACAGCTGAACAAAAAAAGACTTCCACAAACATTCTATGATCAATTGCATGTATTTGCTACTCAATTTGTCTCCCCTCCTTACAACTCTTCTTTCAAATGCTCTTCCAAGATATCCATGTTCGATGCAAATGGTTGAGACGACCCTCCAATATAATCACGATCAGTGCTGTAAATAACCAGGCAAAAAGAAAAAATGCCCTCAGCGAGCTAATGTGAAAGCTAGAAAATTAAATAATAATAAAAAAAGAGAGAAATTTCACTAACTTGAGAAGCCTGTCGCAGTTTTCAGCAACCCATCCAATTTGTTGTTTTTCGTTGTCATAAATCACCATTTTATCTTGTAGAGAAATATCTGTAGATAGAAAGCAAGAAAAAATAGATTAGCATGTTGAAAGAACTACAACCACTTATTTTTGTTCTTTTGTTCTCTTACCACCAAGTATGTTGTTGTTTCCGAGCCCTACTTCACTGCCATTCAATATACCCAAGCAGGCATTCCCATGTTTCTGAAAGAGTGGAGCTCATCAAGTCTATTTTCCTCAATTTATTGTATTTCGTTTCCAAAATGCCATGAAACACGGACACAGACAAGGGACAAAGCAGGAATATGACAACAAAAAAATATGTTTTATAAATTTTTATTTGCTGTGTATAAATATTAGATCTATAAACAACCAAAACTTACGAAAACCAACACTAATTTTTTAAAAATGGACATGCTGTATCCCTGTTGTGTCCAGCAAAAAAAAAATTATTAAAAAAATAGACACGCCATGTGGCATGTCGAGCACATGTCCTCACCGTATCTGACATGCTTATGGCACCTATTTTGAAGTGTCAATGCTTCACAGCATAAATACAAAGGGAGAAAACGGTTATGAGATGTGCTTACAGTGATGATGAGATAGGCTGAAGGAGGAAGTTGCAGCTGCACATTCTTGGGCTTTGTAAATCTCAGCACCAGGGGCTTGAAGTAGTTCTTGACATCGTGAATCGATTTGAAAGGTTTAGCACCTTTCCAGCAGACTGGGAGATTTTGATCCTCAACTGCATCTTTCAATTGCTTTCCATTCAAATCTTCCTTTACCTGAAAACATAGATTAGTAGTCAGTTCCTCAGTACAAAAACGTAAAACTACTGCGAGTTTCTCCTCTGTGTTTCCATCTTAAGAGTTATTCCGGCTACAACTTGAAAATTGGGACATTTTTTAGGGTTAGTTTTGTTTTAGAAATTTTTTTTCAACTTCAAGTTAAAATGTTACCTTTTAGGCCCGTCTAGACGATCCTCTAAAAAAAATTAAACAAAGTTCAGTAAAGACCAAACTTTGGCTTGTTTTTACCTAGTCAACAAACTTTGGCTTGTTTTTGTTTCCAGTAAAAAAAGTGACAATTTTTTAAAATGTTCATTAAAGACAAAATTAAGTAGAAAAAAAAAAAGACGGGTTATAAGTTGGTGCGAAAGGAAGTCTTACTATGGCAAGTGTGGCTTTGTAAGCATCGGAACTTAAGTAACTGTAAGTACTGCCGCTGTCAAAAACCACTAGGAGACCCTTGACACCAGTTGCCCGGTTGCCATAGAGAAGTTCAGTCGGTCCCAACACATAGCGTTTCCTGAAATAAGAAAATTCTTTGGATGTAAGAAGCCAAGTAAGATTGGGAACTTTGGATAAAGGCCTAATATGGTGAATGACTTAGCAGTGCTTACTCCAAAGAATTGAGCAACATTGGCACCCAAACAACTCTTGAAGAAGGAACGAGGTCGTTTCCAAAGAAAAGAAAGCCTCCACCTTTCCCGCTTAAACAGTGGCCCAAAATGTTGCGGGTTATACCTTGTTTGTGTAGTTGTGACACGATGCTTAATTGGCCACCGGTGAGGCCTAAGACTCCGTCTGTGTAAGGAGGGTCAAAAGAATCGGGAACTTCTTGATTGTAGCCACAGCTGTATTCAAGAGGATTAGAAAGCATGATATGATTAATTTGGAAGACAGAGGAACATTACTGAAATCAAACTTTCAGGATTTTGCCAAGCTCAGCTAAGATCAAAACTCAAAAGTCGAAACTAGATTTTGACAAAGATTAAACACAGAGCAAGTTATGTACCCAAATATTAAACGGGGACCAGCAACGCTGCCATTTATCAACCTTAGTGGAAAGGAGTCTCTAATAAGCACGCCCATAGATGAGCCATGATCGGCATATTCAATCTCGTAGTCACACTGGTCATCTGGGGTCTCGCATGGCTTGTTTGCAGGCCAATGAAGGGAGGCACAAAGGGGGTCGTCACATCTCACAAGGTTTTTGTTGGGCTTGTAAAGAGCATGAGGTGCCTGCACACACAATCGAACAACATAAAGGCTTACCATATTGCCGGGAAAACAAAACAGAAATACTCTGTGCACAGAAACATTTCACAGAAAAGCATCCATAATGCATTCTGGTATTACTGCATTTGGTGGAGTGTGGATCCATCCAAACTGAATGCTTTGGTTGGACACTTACCTACATCGATGAAGAAGCCATCACGAAGGCTATGAACTTAGAAATGGAGAGCAAGTTGAAGAAATGACCTTAAATCTTTGTTTACTGACCCCCTAATTGAATTGTTTGGAATTTCAAAGTGAAAAAAAAAAATCATTTTATCCACTAATAGTGGCCAAATTGATGTATTACCAAATCACACACCCACTTGCCACAGCGGTAGATATAGGTATTTGAGAATATGCCTTAACGATCCATGGTTAATGACGGTTCTGGGAAAATTTGTGACTATAGTTTAAGAAGAATAGGAAGCTAAAGAGCAAGTTTCACATCAAATTTTGAGATCCACCCTACAATATGGGATAAAAAAGCAAAAATAAGTTCTTTTAGCCCTTATAAAAAGAAAACTAATTCTTGAAATTCTTTCACGCTCATGTCACATTGAGGTACTGCAAAATCTGATCCAATTTTCGTAATCAATTAGTAACTATGTTGGTTTACCGTAATCATGGAAAAAAAATTCATTGACTTATAAATTATCTATAACAACGATGAGGATGATTATGGTGATGATGACGATAATTACCCGAGTGCATTTGATACAAGGTGCATCACATTGGAGCCAAGTGAGGTCACTGCCAGTGTCTATATCAAGAAAGTAGGGTTTGGGCGGGTGGCCTATGTTAAGGGTCACATGGTAGTACCTGCATAAAGTAAAAATAAAAAAAAACCCTTAACAGCCTGCTTTAAGTAGAGAAATTGGAACACAGACAAAATGCCATGAATTTCAATCATTGACCCAAAGGGGAAAGAAAATAGAGAGAGAGAGAGAGAGAGAGAGAGAGAGACAGTCAGAAACTAAATGAAAGGGAAAAGGTCAAAAAAAAAAAGTAACAAATTCAACCCAAACACAAGAAAAGAGAAATAACTGAAGGAAGACAAAAGTACAAATCTTGTTACCTATACCCCCAATATATGGTAATATATATCTTATGGATTATTGTTATTAGAATACGCCCGTGATATACCCACAGACCCAAACTGGAGACACGCCTTCTCCACTGATCAAATCCAACGAGAATTAACATGCAAATACCTGAAACCACTAGCACAATGCCTTTCTCCAACATGGAGGAATTACTCATAATACTTAGGACCACATTTATCTAGCAAATTTTGTTTATCAATCATTATTGGATTAATAACTAATATGAGTTATAGGACCCATTAAATTAATATAATTTTAACACAAAACACAATATAGTAGACAAATGTGGACATTGGCATTCACAACCACTTCTGACTAAAAAGGGAGGGATGAAAAGGTACTGTGATGGTGGAAATGTATGGAGACTTTTTAGTGGGAAATGGGTCCAATAGGTTTCTTTACACATGCATACATAAGTGCGCATGTAATACATATATATATATATATAGAGAGAGAGAGAGAGAAAGAGAGATAGACCAAAGCAACTGCAGGAAAAGGTAATCAGAAGATTCAAAGAGAGAATAAATATAAAACAAATGGGTGACTAGAATTTCAACGAAAAAACATGGAAAATGAAAAGAAATTGATCTGTTTAAAAAAAAAAAAAAAATTGCAAGAAAATCAAATTCAGAGGAAATGGGTAAGAACCCACGTAAAGATTCCAAGTAATTCAGAAAAGGAAAAAGAAAAAAGAAAAAAAAAGTTAATAATGAAAAGTACACAAGAACCCCAAAGTGCCCCCAAGAACCCAATAATCAACAATCGCAAAAGCAAATTATGAAGAGAAATCGTCCAAGAAACCCAAAATCAAACAATCATAAACACACATACCCATCAATAATGCATTTTCAGAATCTAACATAAAAACCCAAAATCAAACAATCATAAAGCATAAACAAATACATATATACCTATCAAGATTGCATTTTCCCGAATCAAACATAAAAACCCACAATCAAACAACACATACCCGTTTGGATAAACATTTCCAGTAACACGGAAGACCACAGAGGACCCAATTCCATAAGAGGCCTTCGATTTTGTCTGCTTGGAAGCTCCAAAAGATCCTTGAAACGTTGTGAAAAAGACCACAAGAAACAACACCAATTCCATTGGTACTCGTTTTCTTTTATTGTTCATGATTGAGAGTGACTGGTTTTGTATCAGAAAGAAGAGGTTTTTCTTGATCTGAAAGTGGTATGGAAATCAAGAATTCTAAAGACTGAGCAACGGACTATACTGTGCTCTTCTCTCTCGACTGACTAGTCTGAGTTCGGTAATGTGAAACAGCAGATTTTGACGTGTGTACGTATTTGTAGAAAGAGAATTTACAGAGAGAGAAAGAGACAATAGCATAAAATTCAGGAGAGGAGAGAAACAATTGCTAAATGAGAACCGGGTCTCACCCGCGGAAATATGATTCTGAAAAGTCAAAATTGCTCTTTCCATTTCGAATGAGTGGTATGAGTGTGCCCGGTGCTGTTTGGGAGTGGGTGATGGATGTATTAATTAATATATTAATATTAGTAATAATGTTAGAGGGTCATAATTTTTGTGATTACAATAGCTTAAAATTGTTAAAACGACGTTGTTTTGGCATGTTTTGCACTCAAAACGACGTCGTTTTGACAATTTTAAGCCATTGTGACTATAAAAATTATGACCCTCAAACATTTTATTTAATTATGATATTATTATTAATTTTATTCATAAATCACATTATAAATTTTAAAAATCTCTTAAATAATATCACATTATTAATTGATATACTAATTAATATATCAATTGGTATATATAACATTATTCTTTAAAAGTTTGAGAATAATTATAAATTAAATGATAAATTAGTGAATTGATTGACAAATTACGATTTTAGACAAATTGACTAATTAAAAAATATTTTAATAAATTATTAAATATTTGTATAATATATAATACTAATTTATATAATATTTTTCATATATATAACACAAACTAATTTCATAATATTTTTCATATATATATATAACTACTGATTTGTAATAAATTTCATATCTTAAATATCTCTCATATTCATTTTTACTTTGATATTTCATTTTAAGTTTAAAAAAAAATATATGTATTAATTATAATGGAGCGAAACGGTTTTGAAGGCAAATTATAGATTTTAAAATTTAAATCCCAATTAGCAGATGGAGCAGGGTAGATTAATACGAATTGGTGCAATTTTAACGAATTAAATGGTATTTTACACAATCCTAATAAATAATGTTTGTAAAAGGGCATATTTGTCTTTTTACCAAATGATGTCCTAACCATTGTGTAATGAATCAAGGAGCTTAATAATATTGCACATACCCAATCCACTCTATGCACACACTTAATAATATTTATTTTTATTATAATTTTATCCCTAAGTGAAATTACTATTTTGAACATCATACACAATTCAAATAAACAAACGTTCTCATTGCACATTCAGACTTCGCATCCATCACATTGAAGCTATTGAAGCTATTGGACCTCCAAGTCCATTGTAGCTACTCCTTCTTCCATTGAAGTTGCTGAAGCTATTGAAGCTCCAAGTCCATTCATAGCTTTCCATTTCCATTAGCTTACACACTAACCTCATCCTCATTCATTATTGTTATGGAGGATTTCTCTTTTGAAAATTTAGATTTTCATAAGCAAATAAATATTTATGAGAAAGATAGCTAAGGAAATGTGAGTTTTGCAATGTAAAAGTCTTCTTCTTCTTTTTTCAGCGTCTTTCGGATAACCAGAGTCGAAATATATCAATTTGTTCGGCATTCTACTACCAAAATAATTATGTAATTTCAGAAGTTGCCGTCCGAAATAATTTAAATTTTACGATATTCAACTTCCGAAATTGTAAAATTAATTCGGACAACTACATTCGAAAATTAGTATTTTGTTCAACACTGTACTTCCGAATGAAGTAAAAAAAAAAATTCCCATTTTATATTCCAAATTTGTAAACTGCATATTAAATTTACAGTTTCAAATTGCAAATTAATCTTTATAATGCCATTTCAAATTTGTAATGTTATACAAAACATATAGGAATATGTGTCAACTCAGGGAAGTCAGGTTTGCGCGAATAGTGTGTTGGATTACACTACTCAATTCACAACTGAATATGTTCACTCTACGAAATTATAATGATTATGTTTTGAATTGCTCAACAAATGTAAATGTTTGATAATATTTATTTGACTTTGTAGGTATTCAAAAGTAAGAATGAATTGCTCAACCAGATACGTGAAGTTAGAAAGAGAAATGGTTTGGTCATTTTAATCAAAACATCAGACTATGGTGGAAGGAAAAAAAGACCTAGGATATATCTTGCTTGTGAGAGGAGTGGCCAATATAGAGCGACAAAGAAGTTAAAACATAATGGCAACAATACATCAAGAATAACCGGTACGAAAAAGTGTGGTTGTCCTTTTGATATGAGGACTCACAGGTTTACCACATATGATGAATGGACATTGATCGTAGTATGCGGATTGTATAACCATCCACCTGCGGAGCACCTTGAGGGACATTCATATGCGGGAAGGCTATCAAAGGATAAGAAAGCATTGTTAATGGATATGTCAAAGAGCATGGTTAGGCCAAAAGAAATCCTAGTAATCTTGAAACAATGAGATGCCCTTAATGTAAGCACACTTAAAACCATTTACAATGTACGCCATTGAAACAATGTGGTACAGAGAGCTGGAAGATCACAGATGCAACATTTATTGGGTGAATTGGGCAAGTATAATTACATTGAGCGCCATCAATGTGAAGAGTCCACGATGATTGTGATAGACTTGTTTTGGGCACATCCTACCAGTTTGGACTTATTTCGGTCTTTCCTATGTATATTAATTATGGATTGCACATATAAAACCAACGGATATCGTCTTCCTCTTCTTGAAATTGTGGGAATGACATCAACTGAAATGACTTTCTCTATAGCTTTCGCATACTTACAGTATGAAATGGTTGATAACTATGCGTGAGTGTTAGCTATATTGCGTGATGTCATGGATGATTTTGTTTTGCCAGCGATTATTGTTACTGACAGAGAGCTAGCCTTAATGAATGCCATACAGAAGATATTCCCAAGTGGCAGACATTTATTATGTCGTTGGCATATCAGTAAGAATATATTGACCAAATGCAAGAAAATGTTTGAGACACAGCAAAAATGGGAGAAGTTCAACCATGGATGGAACTCTTTAGTGTATTCATCTTCTGAAATTGAATACGACGAGTGTCTTAAATCATTACTTAAGGAATTCAGTAGTTATCTCGATGCAGTCACTACGTCATGGATGCTTGGTTGGTTCCTTACAAGGAGAAATTTGTTGCAACATGGACAGACACGTGTATGCATTGTAGCAATGTTACAACCAACCAGTAAAATTACTTTTCTTCAATAAGTTATTAATAAGTGCCATGTACTTGATTTTTATTTGACTTACATTAAATTGAACAGGGCTGATAATGCACATGCAAAACTTAAAAGACAATTGAGTTCATGTCAAGTCTCATTTTAGGCATCATTTGAGAAAATACCCAGTCTGCTTGAGTTGCAACACACTGATATCAGGCTTTATTTGAGAAAAGTCTAACTGTTGTGCAACATCAATTTACACCTTCTTAGTTCAGGGAGCTACGAGGTAATGTGTCTATCTCTGCATTAGAGTATTTGCTTGTAGAAAGTAAAAGAGTCAATTCCATTGGTATTAATGCTGAAGCTTCTGGATGTATCCTTTGCCACACTCATGGTTCACTTTGTGCCCATGAGATTGCTAATTACATCAGACAAGATCGTCCTATACCATTTGCTATCACACACTCATAGTGGAGGTAACTTCATATCTCCGTATGCAACAAAGAAGAGGAAACGGAGGTGACTTGTCATGCAGAAGTAGAGTTGTTTGTGGAAAAGTTCAATGAAAGTGATAAACCATGCGGTTGGAGCTTTTGAAGAAGTTGAAAGAGATTGTATGTCTGGGAAGCACTTTTCTTGTTTAGCCGAAGGAGAAACCCAAAACACGTCCTCGGGATCATAAGAAAATCAATGTTTCTACCTGTCGTGACCCGTGTGCATTTAAGTTGGTGCAATCTGGACATGATTCCTTCTCACCTAGGGACACTCAAATCACTACATTGGCTTCTACTCTAGAAAACAAGAAGAAGTGACCTGTTAAGGGAAAGGAAAAGGTGATTGCGAAGGGGGAGGTGTACATTACCAGAACAGTGAAACCTAGTGCATATGTTGATGCTTTCCTTTCTGGGTTGAAACCATACGTTAAGTTTGCCAAGGATGTAGCTGCAGATGGGAATTGTGGTTTCAGAGCTATAGCTACTTCAATTGGTCATACAGAAGATGATTGGGCTCAGGTTAGGCGTGATCTTTTGGGTGAGCTGCACACACACAAAGAGGAATATATTACACTTTATGGGTCCTACGAAAGGTTTAAAGAATTGACAAGCATATTGTCATACTTTGAAGACAGTCCTAGCTAATCGCATTGGATGACTATGCCAGACATGGGGCATCTTGTTGCATCTTGTTACAATCTTGTATTATACCACTTGTCATTACAACAATGTCTCACCTTTTTACTTCTTAAGAACAGTGCCAGTACCTCGACTTGATAGACGTGAGATTGCCATTGGGTTTGTCATTTCGTCCAGGTATAAGAGAAACTTATCAATTTGTGCATATATAGGAAGTTATGAGGTATGACCACTAACTCAATTGACATTTGGTGAAGGTTTTTTTGCAGCCAGGCCATCGAGTTCCTCCTATAGCCACTAATTGGCGAAAATACCGTAACCTTTGCGCTGTCGACTGGGATGATGCATATGTGTGCTGCATTCAACATTTCAAGGACATTATTCATGATACTGTAGCTACTCGAGAGACATTTGATGTTGTTGATGTCGAATGACACATGTATGCATTTGACAATGCTAGAATTATGGAAGAAATTAATGGATGTGTTTTTGATGTTGATGTGTCTTGTGACATGGATTGAATGTTATTGACCATTGTTACCATTCCATTCTAATAACAAAACATCATTTACAAAATCATCGACCATTGTTACCATTCTATTCTAATAATAAAATGTCATTTTCAATGTCATCAACCATTGTTACCATTCCATTCTAATAAAGAAATATCAACCATTGTTATCATTACAACAATGTCATCTTACAAAAAACACCACAAAAAATTCATCAACTAACAAATAACATGTCACGAATCAGCTGTATGCCTGCGACTAGGCCTACAATTGTATGTCAATGTCGGAGATGAAAAGCGACCTCCGGCATAACTAGGTCCAGCAGAACTAGGTCCAGCTTTGTTAATGTGTTGACCTTCAAGAACATGCGCCATAGCCTCGATAGCTTGGTAAAGTCGATGAGGATGTCGAATCCTGTCCTCATTACCAGCCTGAATGATAGGATGTGCAATCCTCAATGCGTGTGCAATACATTGCATTTGAAAAGAATATCACATTTTAGGGAACATATCAGAAAAGAAAAAGTAAGTTACAAATGCACAAAAGAGGATAATATATTACATCGACATGTTAGCTGAAATCCCGATGTTCATGGACACGTGGTTCATTAGTGTGATTAACATATAGGTGCATAATATTCTTATACCAATCCATGTAACCTAGTACGCATTCCCAAGGCTAACAAACTAGTGTGCTCCTCCATTGCTCAGATAACACATGGTTATCCCAAGCCTCCCAGATCCTATCCAAGTATCTATACATGACTGTATATCGTGCAGATATGTTGCCTCGAGCACCACGAGTGGGAGCCAGCGGTGCATCTGGGATGGTTTGAACCCTGCCAAATTGCCCCTCAGAACTCTATCTGTGTGTATATGAGAGTAGATGTGGAATGAAAGGTGTGTGCAGTGAGTAAAATAATTTGAGATTAATTTTTTAGGTATGTGTAGGGAGAAGGATGTGCAAAGAGTGGATATCGTGTGTGCAAATAGAAGCTCCCAATGAATTGCCCCTTTATTTCCAATTTGAGATTAATTTTTTCTTTTAAATTTTTTTATTTTTAGTATTTTTTAAAAATAAATTTATGTCAATTTTTTATTTAATTTTTGTAGTCTGTCTAATGTAGACAAATTTTAAAATAATAATTTTTTTTTAAAATTTTCAAAAAACAAAATAAAAAACCAAAATGAATAATTTTTTTTAAAACTATTTTTGACTTATTTTTATCTTTTTCTAAAAAAAATTAATTTCTCAGTTGGCTTGTCAAATGGAATTTAGAAGCTTAAACTTTTTTTATTTTTTATTTTTTTTACAAATTTACTAAAGACAAAAATAAAATTCATTAAAAAAAAAAAATCCCAAACACCCTAATATTGCAAACTCTAATCTTAACCTTACTCTAGCCCTAACCCTTACCTGTAAATCCTACCCCTTCCCAACCACCATATGAGAAGAGCGAACAATGGAGGCAATTATGCAAACCACCGTATGAGAAGAGCGAACAATGGTGGTAATTATGCAAAGGTGGTCATGTTGTGGTGCAATAGGAATATTTAAAAAATAAAATAAAATAGAAAAAATGGTAAAGTATCAATAAATTTTAAAATGTGATCGTGTGAACTGTTTAATTTTTTCTTATGAATCCAATGATTCTATTAAAGTAGAAATTACATAAAAATGTAGTTACTTATATGTGTGGGTTTAATTTTGTAGGAATAAAAATAGATTTATTCAAATATAAAATTATACATTTGGGCAATCCGCACTACAGATGTTTTGGATTTTTTCTCATTCCGAAAAAATCTCACATTACAAACAAAAATGTAAAACTCTAATGTAACACACTAAAAATCTTTTTGGTGCATTTTTTTTCTAAACGGAACAACGTAATACTCTAAAAAAACTCATTAGTGTATTTTTTTCAAACGTAACACTCCAATATAATACACACAAAAAACTCCTTAGTATATTTTTTCCAAACGTAACACTCTAATCAATGTAATTCCAAACGTAACACTCCAATATAACATATACAAAAATATTAAAAAATTCCTTAATATATTTTTTCTAAACGTAATAGTTACAATTTGAAATTTTACATATGTTCAAAACTTACTAACAAATTTTTATACTCCTTTTGAAATGATTTGAAGGATCTCATATTTCAAGTCATTTTTATATTCCTTTTGAAATGTTTTCCAAATAAAAATTTATCTCAAATTTAATTCTCATAGATTGTGTACCTTGCTTTTCTAACACAAAAGAAAAAAGAGAGAAGAAAACATAATATAAAATAAGGATATAACCGTAAATCTAATTTTCAAATAATATATTAAATTTATCTTTTCCAAAATCAAAAGAACTAATTGGTCAATAAAAAAATTCTTGGGACTAAATGAATTATCATCCCTTAATATAGGATAAATAGATGAATTTTCCTAGAAAAAAAAAATCCATTCATCTAGAAACCAATATTTTATGATCATAATTATTTAAAATGAATAGATATAATGAAAAGGACCATAAGAATTTTTTTGGTGCTATGTCATTCTACCTAGGGGTGTACACGGTCCGGATTGGTTCAGTTCTGAGAAAATTCAAGAACCGAATCGATTCTAACGGTTCTGTGAGTTTGAAAATCAGACCAGACCGTTAAGCTTGTAAAACTGGACCAGAACCAAACCGAAAAAACGATTCAGTTTCGGTTTGGTTTATGGTTCCAAAAATTTTTATTTACAAGAATAAATTGTTAATATTAGCAAAATAATTACTCAAACTAATTACATTAACTCATGATAAAAACTAATAATATTAAGACATTACGTAATATTACATATCTATACTATCCTAATATTATTAAAATTATAAAAAATCAATTAATAAAAATAAAACTTGATATTATATATATATATATATTTTAAATTTTGGTTCGGTTCGGTTCGAACCGCGATTTTTTCATAAAATTCATTAACGGAACCGTTTTTACGGTTATCATATTTCTTAATCTGAAACCGAACCAATTCTTAATAAAACCGAACCAAACCGTATGATTCGGTCTGGTTCGGTCTGAATTACCAGTTTGAACGAATTTTTGAATAGCCCTAATTCTATCTCAAAGTATTTATAATTAACGCATCATTAATAATTTCCCAACCATTAAATTATTAAAAAATTTCAAATACGATATTTATGAAAACGAATAATCTCATGCACCTCTTCCTTCTGTTGTTAACTTATTCAGCTAACAAAAGGCCTCACAAAAATGCTCCAAATTTGGTTAACCACGAATTTTTCCGGACTTAATGCATAATTTTCTCTCTTTCTCACTCTCTTTCTCTCTCTCTCTTTCTCCGTGGTAGATCATGCGAGTTCACCATTGCAGGACCTATGCAACATGTTTGGCATCCTAATTAGAAGAATCCATCTCCTAACATTCCAATCCGAATCCAAATTCGAAGTCGAAGATAATCTTTAATCAATCGATGAGTCATACAAGGTAGATGGCTACATTTTTTATGCATACATGCATTGGTTCATATTTATGGATTAGAATTTCAATTTTGACTAATTTGATCTCATTATGTGTTTGATTCATTTTGTAAAATAATTCTATGTAGTTTTACTTTTAGCTCGAAATTCCAAAATTATTGTATATGATTTGATTTACACTTCAAAATGCCAAACCTGTTAGGGCAAAAGAGCATCAAACAAAGGGGAAAATAATCATTTATCTCATACAATTGAAGTAATTTTTTGTTTTGAGATTAAACTTTAGGATTCCTTAAAATTATTTATCTTAGTTCCAACTTGGAACTTGGTAAAAATAACTAGTAACTAAATATTTGAATTCCCTAAAGTAGAGCTCAACTTCATTTGCAGGCATTGAACGATAAAAACTGAGGAAGGAGAAGGAAGAGCCATGAATGGAGTCCATGACTTCAAAAACAACGGCGGCGCAACACAAGCCGATGATTATCCATCTCCCAGAGTTTTCTTCAGGAATCGGAGCTTTGATAATTACTATACCTCCAATCTCTCTCCCTTATCAGGAAGCTCAAGTTCTACTACTTTCTCAAGAAGCCCTTCTCTCTCAAGAACTTCAAGCCTCAGTAGCCGTACCCCGATTCCCGCGTCAGCTTCAGCCAGCCGCCTCTTAAGAAGCGTGAGCCGCAAAAACATCGATGCAGCTGCTGCTGCAGCATCTGCAGCCTCTCCTGCCCGAGGAGGCGCTTCGCTCTCAAGGAGTTCGAGCCGGAAGGTTTCCTCCACAACAAATGGCTTTCCTGTAGGTAGGGGTGTAAACGGCTCGGTTTAGAATTAAGGAAAAACTTGTTTGGGAATTGACGTTTTTAGTGGTTTTCTTTTTTTAAAAAAAATATATATATATATACGAAAAAGTAGAGATAAAGATTTGACAATTTTTAATAACTTTTGACTTTTTAATTAAAATCAAAATTCCCAAACAAGGTCTCAGCACCCAAACTAAACACTTCAATTTTATTAGGTGAGGAGCTGAACAGACCACATCGATTTTGTTAGGAATTCACGACGAACTTTAAGAGCCTCCCAACTTATAATATTGCAATACATGTAGCATTGATCATTTATCTTTTAATACTAAAAAAATTAGTATTGAAATTTCGAGCGGTTGGTTTTGTTTCACTGATTTTTCTTACAGCTCTACCTGCAGGTTCTCTCCCAAGGAGACTGAACCGAACTGGCTCGATGCCAACTATGTATTCGAGCTTGTTCGGGTTGATAAAACCGCCGGCTATTGAGAAGAATCTCGAGTGCACACTTGAAGAGTTGTGCTTGGGATGCATAAAGAGGATGTTGATCACAAGAGACGTTGTAACCAACAATGGGTTCGTAAAAGTTTCATGAATTTCTATTTTATATTGCAATTCGTAAACCTCAAAAAAAAAAATTGCAAATCATGGCAAAGCAAGGACTCCTCTGTAGAGATTGTGTCCAACACGTATCAAACACGAACACACTCAGACATGTGACAACATTCATTCTTCAAAATTTATATATATGTATACATATATGATGAACATTATTAACTATTCAATTATAGAAAATTTTCTTGAAATGGGTTGAGATGGAATTAAAATAATACTCACTCACTAGCTAATCTGTACAATGTGCATTTTTCTTTTTTGGTTCTTTCTGGCAGGAAAATAGTAAAAGAGGAGGAAATGCTAATAATCAAAGTGAAGCCGGGATGGAGGAAAGGAATGAAGGTTACATTCGAAGGGATGGGGAATGAGACACCAGGAACTCACCCAGCCGATATAATTTTTGTGATTGTGGAGAAGAGACACCCGTTGTTTACCACAAAAGGCGATGATTTGGAGTTGTCCGTAGAAATAACTCTGCTAAATGCTCTTATCGGTTGTACCCTTTCGATCCCTTTATTAGGTGGGGAGAATATGAGTTTGACCATCGACGATATCATACAGCCTGGCTATGAAAAGATCATTGTAGGCCAGGGCATGTCAAAGTCGAAAGAGCAACGAAACAGAGGAAACTTGATAATAAAATTCGTAGTCAAGTTTCCAACAGAGCTGACTGACGAACAACGAACCAATGTTTTTAGTCTTTTACAGGATTCGTGTTGATTGCTAAATTTGTTCGTCTTTTACACATTTTTCATCAACAGTTTTGTAGCTTGACAATCAATGACATCATATGACTTAGCTAACAAAAAAAAAAATTCATTGCAAGGAGGGCATGCCAAAGTCAAAAGAGCAAGAAAAGAGAGGAAACTTGATTGACAAAGGAACAATGGGCTGAAGTTTTATGTAGTTTACAGGAATGTGTTGATTCTGAAATTTGTTCTTATTTTCACATATTTTTCATCAACAGTTTTGTAGCTTGACAATTGGAGATATCATACAGTCTAGCTATGAAAAGATCATTGCGGGCAGGGCATGCCAAAGTCGAAAGAGCACGAGAACAGAGGAAACTTAATATCAAATTCCTAGTTGAGTTTCCAACAGAGTTGACAGACGGACAGTGAGCAGATTTTTTTGGTATTTTACAGGAGTGTTGATCGTGAAACTTGTTCCACCTTTACATGCTTTTATCAACATTTTTGTACTCGTGTATTGTCATGGATTATAGGCCTGCTAAACCTAGGAAAATCAAATATTTCTCTGTAAAAATGAAAGTAGAAGCTTCTTAATATAGTCTAGTGATTGATGTATTAGAGTTTTAACTGGTGCTTGAATGACACCAATAAACTATGGTTTAGCATTTTCAGTTAACAAAGACTTCATCTTCAAAGATGCTATATATGTCCCAAGCATTTTGTGTCCTATGTTCTGTTTATTTCGGCAGAATATGTTTTTCCGAAATGCTTTCTGTATTTTCTAGCATTTGGTATGACAGAAAATGAAAACACTAGAACATCCCCCAGAAAAATTGGAGAGAACTCAAATTCACAAAGTTACACAAAATAATTTCATTTAGTAGTATAAAACAAATTTGTATCAAAATAGGGACAATGCTGTGAGTAACAATAAACGCCAACTCTTGAAAACGTCGAGTTTTAAAGAACAGAACAAAGAACTGAAGAAAAATCACAATAGGCAATGCCACAAAACATGATTATCTAAACCTTGGAAGCCTGTATAAATGGGGACAGGATCCTCCGTCCCCATCTCCGCTGTACTTTTGTCCCAAATCACTTCTCTATCAGATGATCAGAATCAGAAACTCGTCATAGGATAGAGAGATAGATTGGTATAGATGACATATTATACATGTGTATTGCTATTGGGGAATACCTCAAAAACTAATTTGATGACCCAAGTAAAGCACGAATAATGCCCATGAAATTGACACTCAGCAGAGCCTTTAGTAATCTTAGCTTCCTTGGTGTGTACGGAGGGTACCTTGCAGATACATCACCAATAAAACCTCGGTAGAGGACTGCCTTCTTATGGGTAAAAGTATCAAAAGAGAATCTGCCATGGTATGAATCCATTCCGCTTTCTCCAACTCCTCCAAATGGTAAGTAGGGGTTTGTAAGCTGTTATCACAATTGTTTTGAATGCAGTTTAGGTCCTCAGATCAGTTCAGAATGTGAAAATAAATTTAAAATTGGGATATAAACATGTAGATGGCAATGTAGGTGCATGTTTCTATTGGTTCCAAGTGTGTGCATACAAATAATAACACAAATTTGATATGGCTAAGCAACAGCAAAACACATTACACGGAGGTATCAATAGATATATGACAACTCAAACCATTTGACACTTCTTTTCATGTGATGGAACAAAATCAAACTTATAATGAATTTGAGTTGTTAGATTATTGAAAAGAACTCCCAACTTCTTTCATAATGAAATTTACATAACAAAGTTCATTATCTGTTTTTTTCTTAACAAATTAATACTATTTCCCTTTAAACAGATTCTTCTCCACTTGCAGACTCTTTTAATTGAAGTTTTCTCTAAAAAAACAATCAAAATATTTCATCAAGTGTCTTCTTAACCTCCCATGACATTTTTCATATTCTTCATGAACCTTGAACACTAGATTTGACACCAGGGCCATTTTCCGGATACCATTCAGCATACCAAATTGTTAATGGGCTGGGCCATTGCTTGGTGCAATGGTGTTTGCTCAGGCACATGAGAATGAGGATTCAAGTCTGATAGTCCTTTGTGTGAATAATGCGAAATTATGCCTACCCAATTAACCTCTCACATCACTTTTTACATCAGAAAGATCAACAATAGGTAATAGACCCTTCTTTTTATTAGCATAGATCGATGTTGAGCACTGGGATTTCACTTATCATGAGACAATGACTCTCCACACAGAAGTATATATGAAAGAATGTACTTACGAATGCAAGTTTGCATGACTGTAAAAAAATAAAAAAAAGCAGCATGAGTTCAGGAAAGAATAATTACATGTAAAGCTATATCATTGATGAGCAAACCCCCAGCAGAGACATTTTTCACAAACTCCTCCTTGAGCTTCTTGTTGTTGGTGAATAAATATGCTGCAAGTGGCTTTTCTTTGGAGTTCATATTGTTAAAACTGTCTTCCAGACTGCCAACCTTAACAAACCAAATGAAAAACAATGTCATGATCAATGTACAATTTCACAAGAAAGAAGAGAAATTTAAATAATTACAACAGTAGTAAAAGTGCTAAAACAAAAACCAATACAGCAACCATGCAACTAAAATAGTTTTTCCTTCCAGCCTTTTACTTTTTCTACATATTCCCAGACAGATTCCAGGTTCAGACAGCTATATATGATAAGGCGATCACAAGTCCATGACAAAGGCAGCTTAAACTTTTCATGTAGTGAGGTTTAGAAAGAGGTGAGATGTTTTCTGTTACTACAATCTTTCTTAGAATAGAATATGGAAAGTTAAGAGACAATTGCAACAGCATCAATGATGCTAATTGTGAGCGATCTCCAATAATTTTCATCATCCTTTATCAGAAGTATATTCCATAAAACAGAAATGTTCAATCCAGAATTTTACCGTGACAATGGGAAGCAAAGGGCCAAATATCTCCTCATTCATGATAAGAGATTCTTCTGGGGCATCCAGCAAAATGGTGGGAGCAATTTTCCTGGGACAATAGCAAGAATCGTAAATGATAAAAATGGCTCATATCACTTAATTACAAAACTAGGTAAACATCAAAAAGTACACAGTAGAACTCACAGGTTGATTTCGTCCCTTTGACCTCCATAAACTATATTACCAGAAACCTTATCGTCGTCCAAGAGCTTTATTAAGCGAGCAAAGTGGTTGGGACTCACAATGCGAGACAAGTCTTCGGATATCAATGAATCACTTCCATAGAACTTCTCTAACTCAAGTTTCAGAGCATCTATCTGAAGAATGAGTTCCATAAGAAGCAAATCAAAACAGATCATATATGCATATATATATATATATGTCTATATCTTCACATAGCAACCTTACCAACTTTGGAGCAAAATCTTTTGTTGTTATAATGTGATCAGCAGCAACACAAGCTTGTCCATTATTTAATCCCCATTTGCCTGTGATAATTCGCCTTGCTGTGACCTTGGAAACACAGACAAATTTATGTCAGCACATTCATGCCAAAGAAAGATGGCAGGCATAGCACCGTAATTAGAAACAAACGAGAATTTGGCAACCATACTTTCAAATTTATGTTGGAATCAACAAAAACAGGACATTTTCCTCCAAGCTCCAATGCTACTGGTGTAAGGTGCCTTGCGGCAGCAGCCAACACAATGCGCCCCACTTTTCCATTGCCTACAAAGAATTAGTTTGATTACAAATAACATCACACAAACAAATTGAAAAGATAATAGGTAAATCATATCCAGGATCAAGTATTAAGAATGCACTATTCAAGGTCAATACCTTGCACATCTATACATTTGTTTCAGCTGCAAAGATTACCGTAACTAAATAAATGATAATACAAGTTAGCAAAAGAACTGCTTTCGTGTTTCTATCCATCGAAGAATGCTGTATAGATGGTGGGGTGCTTCCTTTCAAAATGAAAGCCATGCCTATATGGTAGCTTTAATGCACACCAAGAAGAAAGCCCCATGGTAGATTTAGGCATAGCCTTACTCCATCCAATAAGTCAAAATACAATGTACCCGAGAACCAACAAGATGATCCACTGCCTTGCATCCTCCTCAGGCAGACCACAACAGATCAGAATTAGACAGTGTTTATGTATCAGAAAGCGTAATTACGCAGTCCTTCATTGAGGTTTGTATAAAATGCAAATTCAAAGTTCCCCTAAAACTAGTTCATATTTATTTTTATCGAACTAGTTGATATTTGTCCTCCAAAAAAAAAAAAAAAAATTGAAAACCAAACCAAACAAGTATTTATTTCCCCATTTTCTCAAGAGTGAAAATAAAAATTGTCTCAATTATGAGAAAAGATTTAAAGAATATGGCAAAGACTAATTCATTGTAAAAAATAATGTATAGAGAAAGAGAGAGAATAAATTGTATGTATTATTATTGATTGATATATTGATATTGATCGTTACAAGATTGATTCCTATATATAGAAGAGTAGGTGGTAGTAGGTGGAGTAGGTGAAGTGGAGGTGGTAGTGGTGTAGTGGGTTTAGTGGAGTAGGTGAGGTGGTAGTGGTGTAGTGGGTTAGGTTTAGTGGGTGAAGTAGGTGATAGGTTTTAACAGCCCCCCGCAAACTCAAGGGGGATAGGAACTAACCAACTTGAGTTTGGAGAGAGTAACAAAACAAGAAAATACATAAAAAATAAAAGAGGATAGGAGACACTGTATGGTCGTGTCAGACCATTGGTCAGGCAATATAGAAACTTAAGATCCTCATAGAAAAGAAGGTAAATAAATGGAGGATCTGTAAAAACCTGTATAAAATATTTTATCCCACTTTTGCTCTAGCAGGGCAGATGTTTCAGGAACAGCCCCCTCAACAACTTTTACTGCAGAGTTATCCATATATTCCCCTAACAATTTGGCAAGCAGTGAGGATGTGGCGGGAGAAATTTCTGATGGTTTCAAAACCACAGCATTGCCAGCTGCAATAGCTCCAATGACTGGATCAAGAGATAACACTGGAAAAGAAAGATCACAAAAAAAAGGGGGGGTTACAGCTAGATCTAAATCTTATTCTTGCAATGTAATTGAGATTCATAAAACCAATCATTATCATAACCAAAAAATGAGTTATATAAAAAAATGGAAAATAAATCTTATTCATGAGCAACACTAAAAAAATGAGTTTGTTAGAAACTCTGTGCAGAAAATCAGCAGCCGCCAATGTTCTGTCGCAACTAACTGCCATGAAGTTCAACACATGTTGTAAATAATGAAATTTCGCTGTACCAAATTATGTTATGCTTGCATCATGTAGATGCTGTTAGACTAACATGAATGAATGTTAAATCTACAATTACAAATTGGGTCCCTTGTGTTGTTTTTTGTTTTTTTATTTTTATTTTAGTTTGAGCTCAATGTATATTATCTAACTTTTATTTGATCTTTGTAACTACATAACTCAATAGAACCTGTATTGAAGACAACATAAATTATGTTAGATGAGGTGTTTTGCAAATCTAATGGCTCCATTATGTTGCTTATATTTTTTTAGGTATTTTAACTTTGTGTATTGTCTGATACTGTGACTTTAAACCACGATCACGTTGATACAAAGCCAATAGAAAAGAATGTAGGCACATATGAGCCAGAGGTGGTATAATTTTTTTGAATTTTTATGAAACAAGCATTCACAAGTATAACTAAGGTAAGCAGGATCAAAACTCAACAGAGATGCAAGTCTCTCTTATTCTTTATTTATTTATTTTTGAGGAGGTTGTTATAGTAAGTTGACCACAAAAACGTAACAACAATAAGGATGTAAGGAACAGGGTATTTAACATACGGAAAGGATAATTCCACGCTGATATCACCAATACAACACCTAACGGTTCTGGCACTAGTTCTGCAGATGATGGAAAAGCGGCTATTGAGGTTTTAACCTGCAAAACATGAAAAGAATTGCATTACATAATTCTGACTGAATGACTACCAAGACAACATGGTATGTGACAGTTTCGGGTTTAGATTTAGAAAAAAATTACCTTGTCTGGAATCATCCAATGCTTAAGTTCTTTTAACATGAATTCACATGAGGACTTTACTAGAGCAATCTGCATGATAAACAATAATAATCAAATTCCAAGGATGAAAATATTAATCAGAATAATTAAAGAATAGGGAATAGAAAAGAATGCATAACATGTAGAAGTTCCATACAGTAGTTATTTCACCAAAATCTTCATGAGATGAGTGGCTTTTTTGAACTAGCCGATTCTTCCTCAACTCAGTATAAAGCATTAGCTACTAAACAAGTTTGTTCTAGAATAAACCAATGTATGGAACTACTTAAAATTATTAACATTAAACAGAAGCAAGTGGTCTCCACAATTCAACTAAAACTGTGAACGTCAACTCAAAATTTACACAAGTGCTTGCACTCCATAATGCTTGCGAACTTGCAGCAATCCCTTGCAATTTGGAATGGCATATAACAAACACTAACAACATTTTAATCATTCATCAGACAGAAATTTTTCTGTTTCATTTTCATAAAACAAAGAAACCCAAAATTATAGCATAACCATGAGAAATTCACAAATTACTGAAGCATACATGTGATGATTTAATTATTGGATATTTTTATAGTAAATCTAATAGTAAAAGTTGTGTCTTTCCTTTCACATTGTATGCATTCTTGTATCATTACTAATTGATTCACTAACGTTCATCAAATTATTCCAAATATTTTCGCAACTAGACAAAGCTATGTTGCTTATTGACTTGATCATGCCCATGCCCTTCAACTAATTATCACCCTTCTCAATCATCAGCTGAATAAACACAGATTTTTAAACCGCATGTTCCTTATTTCATTAATCAACAGGAATAGTTAGAGCTGAAGAAATCAGTCAAACAGCATGAATAGACGTATAACAAATTTGTTACTGAGCCATTATGTACAACCTAGCCCCTTGAATATGCTCTAAGCTATTCTATTAGTAACTACCTAATTTGATACACACCAAAAGGTTAGCCAACTTTTGTTGTGAAAAGTAGGTATGGTTGAGTAATAAACGCTCCTACCAGCTACCTATATAAGCAAATTCTTCATGCATGATATAAAAGATTATTAGCAATCAATTACATGCTCAAACCCTGCAAGTCCTCACAGCTCCCTGCTTTTTTCACAACTTCCTTTTTCTTTTTTTTCCTTCTCCTATCGAGGAACCTCTTCAAAGGTAGGGCCCCTAAAGGATTGCCCAGAATGTTCAAATTTACAATTACTCTTGACAACTGCACTACCCATGCAATTAAGAAACACCCCCCCGCTCCATTACACAGTTAAAAGTGTCATGGTGGCCAACGGGCCAGCGCACATTGGTTCCCTAGTTTTGAGACATGAGTATTAAATTGATAGATACAAAGTACAATACTCACCCAAACGAAAAAAACATTAAAAACATGGACTATGTAGCAAGTACATCAAAACCATAACAAAACAATGACGGAAAAAAGTCAAGTATTTTCCATGGAGCAGTGTCCATGTCCAATATGGACCATGGGATAAAAATCATCAGGTCGAATCGGCTAAGGATCCTCTGTCCCCATGTCTTAATTCACTCTTAGTTACACAATTATGTGAAAATCTCGAGACATAATCCAATGGTTAGAAATGTATGGGGACAAGGGACGGAGGATCCAATGCCGGCTGCCTCTATCAACCAAATATAAAATTCCATTATTATTTCATACTATTAAATATGTAATGGAAATCATGAATCAAAGTCCAAAATTTACATCTGGATAAAGAGAAATCACACCTTTATATCAATTAATAGTACAAGTTTAGACCCCAGTACTTAAGAAACAAATTTGCAACAACAACCAATACACACATGCAAACATACATATATACAGAATCGAATGGAATGACTGAAAATTACCAAATCAACCCGGACCTCATAAGCAAACGAAGAACACATGATTGAAAATAACAGTACAAAACCATAAATGATTGAAAATGACTAAAAAAAATCAGGACCATCATAAGCAAGAAATTGTACAGAATAGAATGGATAGAATACAGGACAGTACTGAAAAGAAACTCAAAAGATTGAAAACGACTATTAAAAAAAAGAAAAAGAAAAAGAAAAACAGACCTCATAGACGTAGGATTCGAATACAGGTTTGGATAGATCGGGACGAAGAGCGTTGGTGATTTCTTTCTCGTGATCATTCGTTAATTTCAAGAGAGACTTCAATTGAGAGACTCTCCATTCGTAGCTCCTCGTCTTCTGAGACGTGAACGTGCCTCTCAGCTCCTTCACCAGCGAAGTAGCAGCTTCGGCACCAAACACCTCCTCCTTCTTCTCAAACTCCGACGCCATTTCCAATGTACTTTCAGACTATATCCGTGTATTGTCTGTGTATATATAGAGAAGCAATGATATATATAGAGAGAGAGAGAGAGAGAGAGAGAGAGGGACGGAGGGTGTGAAACGTACGAGGAATGCAATTGGGTTGGTGGAAGAGTTGAATAATTTGATCTGGATATCTGATGAGTGCGGAAAGCAAATCGGAAATTTCTTTTTTTGTACTGTAGTCGTCGTCATGACTTTTGATTCGCGGTGTTTCACACTCGAAAGTGGAATGATATGCGCATATGCACGTCTGTATTTTTTAGTTAGTTATTATTTAATATTTTTTTTTAAATTTTTTAATCACCTAACATAATATTTTATCTATTTATTTTCTTCATCAATTATAATGTTATAAAATACTACATATCTATATTTCAAGATTACTAAATAATTACCATACTAACTATTTTCAACACTACTATATCAGTCACGTCACCAACGGTTTGTTTGGTTTAGTTTTTACTTCACTTTTTGAGAACTTAAAATTTAAAATTTGTTTGGCTTATAATTTTTTTAAAATTATTCTAATTTTTTTTTTTTATATCTCTTCTCTCATTTTTTCATATCCTATACATATCAACTAATCACTTTTTTTTCTCTCATTCTCTCATATTCTATACATCAATTAATCATTTTTTCTCTCACAAACATCTATTTAATTAAAAAAAAAAACTAAATCAACTCAAATTACAAAACTACAAATCTATTTCCAAAATATATAACCAAACAAATATTTTTTCTGTCACACACATCTATTCATTTTAAAAAAACTAAATCATCTCAAATTACAAAATTACAAAATTATTTTCAAAATATACAACCAAACAAATTTTTAAATTTTAAAAACTCTTTTAAAAAATTTACTTTTCAAAATTGATTTCAAAACCAAACTAAATGAATCTCAAGATTTTTCACATCTTATTTTAGGTCTTTTTTTAGCAACATTTTATCCATCAATTAATCATTTTTTTTCTCACAAACATCTATTCAATTAAAAAAAAAATTAATGCTGTGTTTGGTTGGGGGATTTGGGGAGGGATTTGGAAAAGGAAAGGGAAAAAGTATGCGAAACTATGTAAAATATATGTATGTTTTATTCACATTTCACCTTCTTTTTCCATTTTCCTTTCCAAATCCCTCCTCAAATTCCCCAACCAAACACAACATAAATCATCTCAAATTACAAAACTACAAATCCATTTCCAAAATATACAACTAAACAACTATTTTTTTGTCACACACATCTATTCATTTAAAAAAAACTAAATCATCTCAAATTACAAAACTACAAAATTATTTTCAAAATACACAACCAAACAAATTTTTAAATTTTGAAAACTCTTTTAAAAAATTTACTTTTCAAAATTGATTTCAAAACCAAACTAATTGAATCTCATGATTTTTCACATCCTATTTTAGGTCTTTTTTTAGCAACACAAATAATAAGTAATTTGTTAACTTATTAATTTTGATCACATTATTTCATTATTTTTTACATATTTTTTATAATAAATCAAAAAATCCAAAAATAAATTATACCTAAACTAAGCCTAATGGTGTCCCACTCCACTCCAAAACCAAAACAAAAAAAAAAAATTTAATTAACTTACCGTACGGATTTAGGGTTGGACGGTTAGTCCAATGGTTTATCTATTTGTCTCTTAAAACAGTGAGAACGTTAGAAGGTTTTGTGTTTGAATTAATGGAGCGATTGTGATCATTTTATTGAAATTTAACTTATTAATTTATTAATTGGATAAATTCCTTCCATACCTCTCTATATTCATTTTGTGGGCCTTATTTGAGAGTCATGCAAATTGATGATTTAAATTGTTTACCTCAACTCTTTTTGTTAGTTCAGGTTAGAGCCCACAAGAGGGATATGAAAGGATTTGTAGAGATTAAAGTATGGACGATTGCTCATCTCCCATGGAAATGACTCATCTTTGTATTAATACTTTATTTCATTTTGTAGATTCCGGCCCACAACGGCTATTTGAACCATTTATCTCATGAAGTTCACGGTAAAGATTGTCTATGTAAAAAATCAATTATGTAGGATATTAATGAATAATTAAATAAATCGTATTTATTTTATAAAATGAATAGTTTAAGTTTTAAAAGTCATAATTGTCATATATTTTGAAAAACAAAATATAATTTTTTTCATATGTCTAATAATATTCGATGAAATTGATTTTTTACATAATTCATTTCTTTTGCTAGATATATGAGATGAATAATTTAAATTATTATTGTAGGTCTAGGGCAAAGCCAACAAAATAAAATATAAAGGGTATAGATAATAATATGGAAGGAAATCATTTTGAGAAATTAAACTATTTGATCAATAAAATAAACTCTCTCGTTTGGGAACAAACTAATTTAGTAACTTTTTGGCTATTTGGCTAAAATATGAGCTAAAAAAAACTAGTATGTTTGGGATGACTTTTTGGCTTTTTACGAAAAGATGTACAAAAAGTAAAGAGAAAAGAGAATCTTTGACTTTTTGGTATGAATTGTTGGCTTTTTGGCTAATTTAGTAATTTTTTGACTTTTTGACTAAAACGGAGGGTTCCCAAACGAGGCCTCACTAAGAGCATATAAATTGGCTCTTTTTTTTCTTTGTTAATTTAGGATGTCTGAATCAGTTTGTGCATCTTCATGAATCTCTAAGGAATCAATTTTACCATCCATTAGCAAAGTCTCAATTAAAATAAAAGTAAAATTCTGTGTAAACTGACTCAATACAGATATTAATAACATTTAAGAGATTTCAAACCTAAAATCTAAAGAGAGAGTAACAAAAGTCTCAAACCTAAAATCTAAAGAGAGAGTAACAAAAGTCTCAAACCTACGCTATTAGACGAACCTGTGGGGGTTAAATCCGCTATATTGGACCTTCCGAGAGTCCTAAAATAAAATGTGAATATAAATTGTCAATACTTTTAGGAAGATGGTTGGTAAATTTTGCCGTGCATGGATGGATCAATTTCACTAAAATTGAAACATAGGCACCGTTTGGGAAGATAGTTTAGGAGTTTTTTTTTGATAATTTTAGTCACAAAAGACAAAATAGGTTATTTTAGACACAATAAATAAAATATCACATTTAACCCATAATCATTACATTCTTCTCTAAAAAAAAAAAAATCAAAAATGCTAAAAAACCAAAAAACTCTTCTCAAACGAAACTTTTTAACTTAGGCTAAAATAGCCAAAAAATCAAAAAACCAACCCACTTCCCAAAAGACACCTAATTTTTTTTTTTATATAAAAGTTCACATAATAAATTGTTTTTATATAAAAGTTCACATAATAAATACCGTGGGTATAAAATACACATGGGCATTTAGGCCTGGATTGGGTATTCCAAAAAAATTAAAAAGTCAAAAAATTATTCAAAAAGTTATCACTATTCAAAAAAAAAATTAAAAAATTAATTTTACACCATCTTCCTTTTCAAACAATCATAATGGCAGACCGGGCCAAGCATAGTTGTGGGAAAAATTGCACTTATTTAAGTGTACACATAATACGGTACTGTTCAGTTTGTGGGAGCTATCACGGGTCCAGTTTTAATAATTTGGACCGTTCAATGTGTAGAACTCGTCGATTAATATATACCTATCAAAAATCACTTTGATCGGATATTGGTAACTATATGATCAAATCAATTAAAATTTATAAAATGGATGGTGTTATAGTTAACGGTTGAAAAAAACTAATCCGATCAGATAGCTATCGATATCCAATCAACGTGATTTTTTATAAGCATATAGTACTCGACGATTTCTACACATCAAATGATTTTGATTAGCAAAAAGGACCCGTGGTAGGCCCCCACAGGCCGAACAATACCTTCAATTCACTGCCCGAAAAGCAGGGAATCATCTCCCCCCACTCTACACCCACTGTACAGCTATTCCATCACTTCCATCACAATCTTCTCCTACACACTTATTTATACAATTTTTTAATACACATTTTTTCATAAAAAAGTCAAAAAATTAACTCAAACATTCATATTTTTTTCTCAACTTTTTAGTCTAAAAAGATAAAAAGTGCACTTATTTAGGACACCCCAAACAACCCTTAATGTTTAGCACGAGAATTTTCGTAAGAATGGAAAAACATTATGAAATTAATTTGATGACAAATATTTTTAGGAGAAGTATTAATAAATCTCAAAGTGTGATTTTATTAACTGTTTAGTCCTTATTTTTTTTTTATGAACTCAAAAGTTTTTTTAAAGTGAAAATTATACAAAAATGTTATCACTTACGCATTCAAGAGGGATAAGAATAAATTTCTCTAAGTGTGAAATTACACAATTAGACAATCTACACTACAGATATCTTGAATTTTATATCATTCTATAACAAATTTCACGTTACGAATAAGAACGTAACAATCTAATATAACATTCCAATATAACACACTAAAAATACTTAGTGTACTTTTCTCAAACGTAACAACGTAACACTCCAAAAAAACTCATTAGTGTACTTTTTCCAAATGTAACACTCCAATGTAACATACAACAAAATTCCTTAGTGTACTTTTTCTAAAGGTAGCACCCCAATCAATGTATCTCAAACGTAACATTCCAACGTAACACACTTTAATGTAACATATATAAAAACACTAAAAAATTTCTTAGTGTAGTTTTCCCAAATATAGCACTCACAGTTTGAAATATATATTTGGAATGTTACATTGGAATGCTGTTATATTTGAAAAGAGTACACTAAGGAGTTTTTTTCGTGTGTTACATTAGAGTATTGTACTAAGGAGTATTTTTAGAATGTTATGTTTGGAAATATACATTAAGGAGTTTTTTATTGGACAAATTACACTAACGGTCTCTGTAGTTTGGGTCTTCTGTCATTTCAGTCCCTAACTTTTCAATTGTGACACATTTGATCCTGAATTTTGAATCTTGTTCCAAATAAGGACAATTCAAGATACCATTGCTCAATTTCAAGGACAAATTCGTCAATTTGATAAAATATAAACTAATTAGACAAAAATAAATGTTAATAAATATTTTTAAATTTTTAAAAATGATTTCTACTCACTAAAGATAAAAT